AGGGGGACGGACAGGTCCTTCTTCTGCGACTCCTTCAGCTTCTCCGCCAGCACGGTGATCGAGCTGGGCTGCAGGAGGGACAGCTGGCCGCCCACAGGGCCCCCCGCCGCAGGCTGCTTCAGCCCGTGCTTCCTCTTGTACCTGCGGGGGGGAGAGGCACAGGCCGTGACACGCTGGCCCTGCAGAGCAGCCGGCAAGAGACGGGCCCGTACGACCACGCATCAGAACCATGTGGGTGCCTAGCCCCAAGGTATTTCTGGACATCAGCATTTTAACAATGAGAATTCCTTACACTTGTGTAGTGCTTTTCTGGACACTCCACTCAGAGGGCTTTCCAGGTCATGGGGACCCCCTCCACCCCCACCAGTGTGCGGCCCCACCTGGATGAGGCTCCAGTCCGCTCCCCACACACCAGTCTCAGTGGGGAGGAGAGCAGAGTGATGGAGCCAGTTCAGAGAGGGGGATTACTAACAGGCCATGACTGGTAAAGGCCAGGGGGAAATTTGGCCAGGACGCCGGGGTAACACCCCCACTCTTTTCAAGAAACGCCCTGGGATTTTTAATGACCACAGAGTCTGGACCTCGGTTTTACGTCTCATCCGAAGGACGCGACGGACGAGAAGGACAATTTTAGAGCACACGTAAAGAAAGAACTATGATCTCTCCTAACTTCTTCCTGCACCCAGAATGACTGTACTCCAACACCACTACATACACGACAACTGAATGTAAGCCGAAATTGTACTTAAAACTGTATTAGTTACTTTTGCACTGTTTTTGTCCTGTTGTATTTTTTCCTCTGCGTATTTGCACAGTTTTGATTATCTGTTATGTTATTACACCGTTATTGTTATTATGTGACTGTCTATTGTCTTATCTTCTGTTCTATTTACATACTGCACCTGGGTGACGAATGAGAAACGCTTTTCACTATACTACTCACCTGTGTAAGTATAATGACAAATTAAGTTGAATTGAATTGAAAAAAATGTGCCGGACGCTGCACTGCACTGCGCAGGCTGCTGTGGTAGAGCAATCTCCACACATGATGACACTGACCTGGGGACCACAGGGGCCTCCGTGCTGCGGCATTCCTCCTCCTCTTCATCCTCATAGTCATCCTCATCATCAGAATAGGGGTGGTGAGGGCGAGCAGAGCCCCTGGAACGTCCAGCAGCCAGGTCCTCTTCCTCCTATCAATCGCAAATCACCGGTCAGCGAGCCATACTGCCTGGCTGTCACTACCCCGAGCTGAAAGTAATGAACCCCTCCCAGCTAACACCACTGTGGAAAACACCCATGAAGTGTTTCAGATAACGAAGGGAAATACCAACACGCGATAAATAACCACACTGGCAGTTCTTCATGTCTGACTCATCTTGACGACATTAGCCGTCCGTCGGTCGGAGAGAATTATCTTGTAGAGATCTGATGCTGTGCTTCTCTCACGGAGAAGACAGGAGGAAAATATCTCAGACGGTATCTCTTATTGTTTTCAAAAAGAGGATCTAAGAGACGAAACGTGAAAAGCTCAACAGCTCCTTTGTACAGTAACGGAGAGCAGAGTACCACCATCTCTCTTCCAGTAACAGAGCAACACAGGTTCACATGTTGTTGCATCTTCAGTATTTTGACACTTTTACTTCGGAAGAGAAAGTGCATGCATTGCATTGTGTGTCCATATTCTACCATACATTACATACATAGTAAAAAGAACACAGATCCGAGACATTACTGAACTCAAGACAGACCCTTGAAATCCAGCAGTCTTCAGCCTAACCATTAAATCAGCAGTTTATGAAGAGATGGAAGAATAGAACTGGGATCATAATAAGGAAGTGAAGTGTTATATTAAGCCATTTTGAGATCACCTGGAACATAAATCACAACGCCAAATTTAGCCTATAAAATTTAATCAGTTGGGTCAAGTCCAATAGGTTAAAAAAAAAAATCAATAAAGACCCCTCGAAGACTAAGACAACACACTTTGGTTTTAAATGAACAAACATCGCTCCTTTCCACGACCCAAACAAACAAGTAAACCGGCATGTCAACCTGCATGGGCGATTTGGCGTAGTTGTGGTTGTCCAGAAAGGCCGGTAAGCGCTGGACGATGGGGTTGGGGGTGACCGGGGGTCCATTTAAAGGGCAGCTTGCTTGTTTCCCAGGAGCCTTCGCTTTGGGTGTGGAGGGATTCTGGCTCGGGGCAGCCGAGCCATCTGCGGAATCTGGAAGAGTTCCGGGAGGAAGTTTTGGGAGGGTTACAACAGGAAGAGGGGTCATCTTTCCCCGCCACGGCCTTCCGCCACAAACACGCGCCGGTCTCGGGGACGCCGAGTCAATCCACTGCCATCAAAACCTGAAAGGCCTCAAACCTCCCCCTTTCAATTTTGTGATCATCTATAAATCCGTGGTCTCGTGAAAAACGCCGGACTTGTTGACACACAACTCACGACCAAAAATGTCTTATAAATATATACGCAAAGAGCATATAACCAGAGAAATATTACGGAGTGGAGCACGGCAACGTACTGTGGCAGCTCAAGCAGGATCGAGTCCAACTACGGACCCCCCCGCACGGCATTCGACTTCACACATCATCCCTTTTCACTTTACATCTTTACATTCCCCCGCGGTATTTAAACGGGGAACAGCAGTCCCAGTTTCCCAGGCGGGTTACTGAATCTCGATGACAAAACAAATTAATTGACCGCATGGAAAAGAAAACCCGATCTCGAATTAAGCACCGAATTCGGGAGTTTTGCGAAAGCGCGGTAAGGCGCCATTGGTGTCGCAAACCCCTGGTCTCACCACGGGCGGGAGAGCGGGTTACCGAGAACTGCCCTTCCCGCTCACTAGTCACTAGTACACGACTGATGTACTGCGACGCACGAGCAGATAAGTGCAGGCTGGGCCGCAGGTATTTCCCCGCAGACATGTTCCGACGTGACCTGCATGCCGAGTTACGCTCTGGCAGTAGTATTTGTTGGCAAAACTGTCTTGGAAGTCGAGAGCAACACGTTCAGGTGGATTAAAAGCGACGGATTCACAAGGTTTTATCACTTTGCCAGACGTCTTGCTGTCACGCTCTGGAACTCACAATAAGGCCCTGCGCATACCTGGAAATTCTGTCTATCTTGTGATGTAAATTGTAAGTACATTTTACTTTTATTGTAGTTTGCAATGCACTCATACATGCCGGAGGTCAGAACCCAGAAATATAAAAATAGCCGTGCAGTTCCCCCTCTTAACGGTTCCCCCCATATCACTACTCTGGCACCGGGTGGAGAGGCACCTGCGCGGGCGGCTTCCTCGGAGACCGGCGTCGCGCCCGGGTCAGCCCCCGGCTCCTTCTTCACCGCGGGAGGAGTGTCGTCGGGAGAGGAGGCTTCCTGCTGCTTGCGGTCCTGGGCGAGATCCAGCTGGGTCACGCGGATCAGCTGGAACGACACCAACACGGCTCAGGGCGCCGTGCCTCACGAGAACACGGCCACTCCGAAACTGCCACCCGGCCATTTTCAGAAGCCTTGTTTTGATCATTCCTACCTCAGGTGCACAGGTTACAGGAAACTCAGAACAGAAGCAGACAACAATCGGGTCTAATCTACATAGTTTAGGGAGAGAATCAACTCAGAATACTACTGTGAAGCCCTGGACTGGGTTAACTGGACATCAGTTCAGTCTCATGCCAAGTCCAGAGCTCTAGGAACCTGCACAGCTTGCTCTGGGAAATAACAAGTAAAGAGTCGGAGACAAATCAGAAACAGCACCAGGCTGCCAATTGTCACAACGGCCCATTTGATTCAAGCAAATCCTTCACAAATGAAACGGACTGTCATTCTCCAATAACGGAAAGAAATCCTGTGTCTGAGAACCAGTCATGCGTAGAAATGACGCCCGCTTTCGTACGGAACCACAAACCCGAACAGGAATTTGACTATTCATCTTGTGTAGCGGTTGAAATGACTTCAGTCACTTCAGGCACTAGGAAACTTGTGTTCTCACGTTCTAAAATGGGCCCATGTGGCCTTATAAAAACACGTCGAGGCTACAGGTAGCTCAGTATGCTTTCCAATGCCTTGAAGAAGCTCTCTGCACTAGATATCGGAGTCAGAGAAAGACCTGTACCTGCTGCAGGCCCTCGAGCACAGTCTGCCTGTTCATTTTCAAGATGTGAAGCTTTGACTCGTATTTAATCCTCCGGTCGGGAACCACCGCCATCAGGTTGAAGCGAATATCATGGTAAGGTTCCCTAAAATTGGACAAAGGTAGGACAACAACTGGAACCATCTGTGACAGCAACAATGGGCATTTCAATTGCTTTGGATCCTTTGAATAAACGCTAAATCCCAAAAAACGGAGAATGAAATGTACTTTACGTCAATCAAAATGCATACTATAATGCACGAGATGCTATTAATGCATTTTATACGTCAATATAAACAGAGACCTCTACAATATAAAAAATACAAATGACAGGATGCAAGATATAACAAGAAAACCTTGCTTTGCGAATGCAAGAGCTTGAAGAGAACTGCGCGCGTTTCTTTAAAGAAGAGAAAGTGGGGTGGTCCATCTTACCCTGCTGTGGCCAGCCCTATCCTCTCCATGATGACTCGTCTGGCCTTGTCTGTCCATTCCTCCTCCTCTCCCCAGGGCCCTGGTACAATCAGATCCTCAGGTCACCAGCTGCGGCTAAACACGCGTCTCTATTCACAGAGCACGGCAGAGCAGGCCAGCAAGTCGAGTCACTGCACACCGATCAGCTACTAGAGATTGGCTGGGATGCATGAGGAACAAAAAATGTTTCTCCCTGCACGGTCACGAATTAGGGCTTTATCACTCCAGTGCCCAACCTTCAGTCGTAGGGAATGCAACTCAATAAAGGACACCTCAAAATGATTTTAATGCCAGCTGACATTTCCGAAGGCCCCCTTCCGTTTCACTCAAGCATTCCACAGGGAGAGACAAGCTCGTTGCACTGAGATGCTTCACTGGGCTTCTTGTTTTCAACGCTCAGTAGATTCTGCTGACCGAACTCGTAAAAATCCAGGAATGAGACTACTTTCCCAGGGGGAAACCCCCCAGACCAGTCAGAACCCTATTAAACCACGACAGAAAAACATCTCCACCTGACCTTGGTAAATGGAGAGCATAACTAGCAAATGAAGACTCAGAAATTCTAACCGCAGCAGAGGAAGAGGACGGAGTTTTATTGTTATGCAGCTTATGTCGGAAAAGAAAAGTGAAAGAAAAGATGGAGGATTATCGTGAACATGGGAGACTTGGGATTCCTGTGGGTCTGGCATCCAGCAGGTTATCTGGGTCTGTGTGAGTTAGAGAGAAGAGACAAGACTACAAGGGGACCTGACACGAGTACTCAAAATCCTCAAAGGCTCTGGCTAAGTCAACTTTGCGGATTTCTCCAGAACAAACTGTGAAACACGAACCAAAGGGCACAAGTAGAAACTGCAGGGGAGTGACTTTAAAACTCAGAACAGGGGTCCCTTCTCTATACAGAGGGTTGAGGGAGTGCAGAACAAGCTACCCAGCTATGCTTCTCCCCAAGTTGGCAAACCCTGGTCTAAGGAAACAGAGTACCGAGGCCTTGAATCGAGAGATAGCATCTGACAGATTTATAAAGCATTTTAAGGATGACAAACAATATCAAACACAGCAGCGTCTCGAATCTGCGGGGGCTTGGTGCCTAGAAATGTCATGAACAGCCACATTTACATATAATCAAGCCCACCACTACATCGTCACATAGCATACTACAGTACATAACATGTACGGCCAAAAGATACAGTATATGTAATCCTCCCTTTTTCTGATAATTAAAGTGCTAATGCTTTGGCTTTAAGTTAATTAAAATAACATTAATCAACTAAAAAAAAACAACAATAACGGCAAACGTGTAGTAATCAGCAAAAATAAACATGAATCCCTCCTCTGCATCCAGAGGATGCCTGCACTTTCTCCGCCACTGGGATTCGCACCATCCCACAGTAATGAAACGGGCAATAAAGCTGTCAGAGAGCCTGTAAAGTCTTCTGCAGCCTGTCCTTCCCCACGCTGCTGACACAGAACCTGGAGCGTTCGCTCCAATCTAGAAACAAGACCAGGCTGGGACGCAGATGCTGGGAAGTGGATACTTGGGCTGGGGGCAGGGAGAGCCTCGTTCGTGAGCTGGATTTCTCTCACAATCCCCTGCCTGCTGTGCCGCTGACTTGCAAAACTGTTCCACACCACCCTTCAGCTCGGGTTCATCCCCCACTCTGCTCCTCTTCCACCCAAGACCCCGTTGGCCAGACCGAACCGCAAATAAGCGAACGCTAAATGCGAAATGTTCAATTCGCAGATGTCAAGACCCAGCTGTAGAAAACATTTAGGCCAGCAGCTCCTCAGAACGCTGAAAACTTAAGGACAGTCCTTCTGAGGAGCATCAGTTCTGAGATCGCCCAATTTTAGGGGCGTTGCCCGTTTCAGGGAGTCCTTACCATGGTCGATGGGGTAGGCTTTCAGCCCATCCAGCTCAAAGAGACGGCCCTTGATAGGCACGTAGCTGACGAAGTGAAAGGCCTCCATCGTCCTCACCGCGCTGATCCCATTCTGCTTCTCCGGCAGGTGTCTAGGTTCCGGTCTTCAGGGGGGAAAAAAAAAAACAATAAGTGCACAGTGTGAGCGGATGTCAGGATACTCCCTGCATCGTGCCATCCCTGGCACCAGCGACTCTTTTTTAGTTGCGTTACTCCCGAACAATCCGGAATCGGGAATATTCACTCCTCCGATTCCCACCCTGCTGCTCCGGTCACTCGAGGGTGGAAAAAAGAGACACTGCAGCATCCCCGCCTGCCTAGCACGTCGACGGGAGCCGGAATGCCACAAGAACCCAGGCCGACTGATCCCAACCCTATCCTATGGTTGTAGAGCGGCCAATCCTGACCTTCCACTTGGGAAATCCTGATCCATCCCAGTTAACGCTTACATCCAACCATTTTCGAACTGCCTCTTCCAATTTAGGGTCATGTGGGAACTGGAGCCTATCCCAGCAAGCAATGGGCACAAGGCAAGGTACACCCTGGATGGTAAGCAGTCTATCACCGGTTACGCTCCCATATCATACCTAATTTGTATGAACTTTTTTACCACTTTTTAAAGTCAGATCACCATGCAAAGAAAAGACTAGAAATCTGATACAACTCTAGAATCAAAACAATCGCAGTTTTTGATGCATTCACACAGAGTGAGGTTTCTAGGAGAAATCTTTTGAGAAATCTTTCCTCTTACTCTACCTTGCATGGCTGTTGTGAGCTTTGGCGAGCTCAGGTGCATTTCCAATTGCATATCCTTTACTCTGGAAACGAAATTAAAAAAAAAAACATTTTTTGTGGCAGTCCGACAACTTTAGATCAGAAAAATGCGACATCGCAAAAACAAACCCTTAACTTTCGACAAAGACCTTCCCCACAAATCTCATTTTAAGCCCTCGAAAAGCAAAGCAAAAGAAAACACATTCACCTTAAACTGCAAATATCTCAATTAAATGACTTGGAAATGCAAGAGCTGTAGGACAATCATGTACGTTTGCTCTTGAAAATGCACCCACTCCCCCTGTACCCCCACACCTCTGGGCTGAAGCCTTTGGTGAATTCCTTCATTCGACTGAGGGTCAAACCCAGGTCCACGTTGTTGCAGTTCAGGAGGACGCTCAGCAGGGCATGTGTAGCACAGGAGTTGGGAATGAGCTGTACAGAGGAAACGGCGAAGAGAGAGAGAGAAAAAGATCTCTGAGGAACCTGCTGACAGGAGTGAATGGCCCATAAACCCAAGAAGAGCGCAGCTCATTTCTCATGACAGCCCTTTCCTGAAGAGTGGCGGAGGAGTGGAGCAAACTATCCAGTCATGCTGCTGGAGCCGACACCTCGTTTGTTTGTCTGTTCCGTCTGAATGTGAACCTCCAGTTGGGGCAGGAGGCTCTTCTTTACCCAAGCGTAGTGGGGATGTGTACCAGCTGCCCAGCCACGTTGCTGAAGCCAATACCCCGTCTTCCTCCAAGAAACCGCTGGATGAGATCCGCCAATTACTTAGCTACCAAACGGCTTCCTTTTGTTCAAAACCTTTATGTTCTTATAGTATAGGTCATCTAAAATTAGGCAACATAACAACCCTCATCATTTCTTCTAAGACAGAAAGATCATCATCTATAGCATCACCCCAACAAGAAAGCCGAGTACTGTGTCCCCACGTGCCACGACAGACGCTATGTGTTGCGATAAAAGATCTCTGTGCACTGAAAGCAAAAGCGAATGTGAGTAAAGGCCGATCGTAACCACACCTGGTGAGCGAAGAACATGTCGTTCACTATCTCATCATCAATGACCGATGTCTCATCCACCAACGTGGAGACCTTTCTCCTGGACCGACGCTCTTCAATCCACTTAAACAGGAAGATGAAGCCATAGACAGGGCTGTAGGGACACGGATATTGTCTTGAGCACACTGTGAGCGATGCTGGACCACAACAAAGTACATGTGACAGTAACACTTTTGAGGAGGTCGTTATACTGTGCATTACTACTTAAATCATTAAAGCATCTACTTCTCATTTCATTTTATATGTGGTTTTAATTGATTGCATATAAACTTAAAGGCTCAAGATAGCATAGACTGTATTAAGGTTAACTGATTTTAAAAAAAGCTTCCTGCAATTCTACAATGCTCAGCAGCTCAAGAAGGCTGAACACAGGCGTTTCTTCTTTCTAACACATATCTGTTGCCTTTAACTAGGGAGCCATTCTCCATGAACAGTTTATGCGTATTGTTTTCAGAAAACAGGTGTTACCTCTGGCATTTACTCTGCAAATCATAGATCTCCTCCACTTGTACCCCTTTTACACCTGCAACATAAAGATTAAGGTGGATGACCTGTGCTCAAACGAGAAAATAGTTTATTTCTGGCAACACCATTTAAATTGACTGCTCAATACTCTAGCCAAAACAAAGCTTGACAGTTTTGCTCTGTGATACTCTTAACGTTGGAGACTTCACGAAATGAGCAAGCTTTGAGAGTCGATTATACCTTGAAATTAAAACTTTCTATGAACTATGTTGCCACGAGTGCTCGGGAACAGGCAGATCTCAGTTACTTGATCATTGAAGCTCAGCTCTGAAGGAACAACGTGTCAACATTGTAGCTTTCTAAAACATGCTTCCACTTACCAAAATCCTCCACCAATAATGTGAAGAGTCCTAAAATAAATAAATTAACCAGTCAATCACAGAACAAAGACAAGCGACCATAGATCTAATAAAAATTATTAACCGCAAGTAAAATAATCAATTAGTTTTACTTCCTAAAACTAAACTCCTGCGCACAAGTAACAATCCCTTTATATTCCTTCAATTAGGAATATGTAATGTAATCTGATGAAAAATATGCAGGACAGTCAAAAGTGCTTTTCTCTTCATCCCAGATTTAACGCCCAACAGTAAGTAGCTCACCAGGGAAGACATGCTGGTTTAAAATCAAGAAGAGAACATACAGGAGTAACTTCACTCGTAATCCGTCAACTACCAGGCCACGCGTTATAAACGAATGCGTGCACAATTAAATAATTCATTTTTCCCCGAGTCAAGTTTTTCTGAAACGAGTGCCGCTCGTTTGCACAACATGCCCGGCTCTGGGGGTTCAAATGCAACGGACGTATTTCTTTTTTACCAGCTGCAACTACAAGAACGTAAACAAGCATCATATGACCCATGCACAAACCCAAACAACCAGCACGGGCTTTGAAACACTTGCACGCTCAGAAGTAAGGTGGGGAAAAGACGCGCACTAGTCATAAATGCTGAAGAAGCCGCAGTAATTATTCGCATGCAACTGACGAAAGGCTTTTTCTACTTTCTCTCGTTGCATCGCTCATACCCACCCGGGTCACTCTCGAGCTCCAACCACCCTTTATTCATTTTCTTTACCACCTCGAGTCTGCAGGCTCCCTAACTCCTTATCCAGTCCATCTCCCCCATCGGGAAAAAAAGACAAACCGAGCAAGCAAGCAAGCGAGCAATATCGTCCTTTAGGCGACGGGAGGAGAGAAGCACCGAAACACAAAAGCGAACGGAGAGTTAATCGTCTGCCTCGACGTCATTAAACAGGGACTACAGTGCCACAACACCACCAAAAGCGCAAAAGCTAAAACGTAGAACAGCCCAAACGTCACCACACGAGAGCACGGGCCACTTATCCCCCCATGCGCGGCAGCCGAGGGACGCCATGTTGGTAAGGTCTGCAAGGAAGGTCACCCCTGCGTGCATAGCTTTTAATTTAAATTTTATTAAGTTTTAATTTAAACATCAGGAATACAGAAAAAACAGGAGACGAAATATTAAAAGCGAGACAAAAATAGACACTTCACAGCCAGAGGAATTCACAATTATTAAAGCTGAAATTAAACTTTTTACATCATTCCATTGTTTGTCTTGCCTTTTGATTCTTTCAATTTCTAATAGAATTTAAATAAAAAACACATTCTACCTTAAAAGCATTTATAGAGGGAGCAGTATTAGACCATTTATGTTTGTGGATGAAGTATCTCACCAAAATAATTAACAGATAAATTATAAAAACATATCCTTTATCCAAATCAGGTCTGATAAAATATAAAATGATAGTAAAATTTCTCAATTTAACATTTAACTTCAAATATTTAACAATAGTATTTTGGAAATCTATCCAAAACACTTTTGTATATATGCAATTAACAAACAAATGTAACAAATATTCCTTCTCGTTATTACAAAATGCACTGCTGCTTCTAAGAAAAGTTTCAAGTGCTGTGCTGAAGTTGTTGTTGTTTTTTTGGCCTGCTGGTGTCGCTGTTGTACAGAGAATATCAAAACGTACTTCGTAGCAAAAATGCTTCATGATTTTTTTAATAATTTGTGAACAGTCACCCGTTGTCTTGTTGAACTCCTCTCTTGTTGACGTTTTTGCGATACCTGCAGATGCAGCTGTGTTTGCATAATTTGATTTCAAAAACACAATTAACTTTGCAAATTAAAGAAAGCACCTTTAGAACATTTTTATTGGAAAAATGCCTTAATAAACATATATAGTATTTTACACACAATATTTTCGTTTCTGTATTTAAAATTCTTGTGGCTAAGGATCTGCACCTGTGGCTGGAAGGTTGCCGGTTCAAATCCTGCAGTCGGCAGAGGAATCCTACTCTGTTGGGCCCCTGAGCAAGGCCCTTAACCCTAACTGCTCCAGGGGCCCTGTACAATGGCTGACCCTGTGCTCTGACCCCCAGCTTCTCTCCCTGTCTGTCTCCATGGAGAAAAGCTGGGGTATGTGAAAAGATGAATTCCTAATGCAAGAAATTGTATAGGGCTAATAAAGAAACATTATTATTATTATTATTATTATT